ATTTTTATCGCGCAACAGCAGTAAATTACAGAACACTCGCTGGCTCAGAACATATGCGCCAATATTTAACCGCGTCCTTAATAACCAAAGCGAGATAACATCTTCCGTTATCGCTGAGTTGATATTTGCATTAAACAAAGAAAGATTAGGGTTCTTAAACATTTTTTTAAATTACATATGTAAATACACATATACATATATTGTGTGTGTATTTATGTGTGCACTACTACAATCGTAAACGAAAAATAAACGATATTGTAGTATTGACCGATTATAATAGTCCTCCATACAACTTTCCTATAATGCGTCAAGTAAGAATATATGAATCGATTTGCATGCAGCAAACACTCGCTCCCACCCTCTCTCTCTGTTTCTCTAAGGCTTTTAATTTTAACACTGTGACATAACTGAGGCCGTTCAAAATAGCATTATCGTATTCACGTTAATCCCGAATCGAATTGTGCTGGTTACTATTTGAGACACTCCACAGTTAATTTTAACTGCCGAGTGTGTTTTGTAAAAAAAAAAACCTCTTCGTCACGGCTCGTCGAGGATGTAATAGATTTGTAAGGAGGGGAAAAAAGCTGCTTTGCAAAATACCCGATGACAGTAAAACACGCGTTGACATGGAGTCGGGTCAAGTAGAAGGACCTAATAATAAACGACGCGTTCGGGCTTGAAATGAAAGAATCGCCCCTGAAATAGTTCGTTACGCGACAGGCCATCCGTGCATCGTCGGCATTAGGTAACAGGTGTGATGTATATACAGCCCCACGACAAGAAAATTACGTCAAGCCTGCCAAGAATCGTGATATAATAAATTCACTTAGATATCTCCTCGAGTCTCATTAGTTCCTCATTCATTATTCAGATATTCAATATAGATAAATATTTAAAAATCTGTAACATGATTAATGACCTACAAGTCTAACGAAAGGAAAAGAAAAAACAACTCGGTGAATTCGTTTGAGTAACTTCCTTAGAATCGCGCGATTTCTCGAGACGCGAGTACTCGCGGTCCGGAATCTCGACCGGTGACGTAAGCCCGGG